AGGAGAAGGGATGCAGCAAGCTAAAGCTTTGGTTCATGACTAACTGTTCTTTTATATTATTACCTATTGAATATGGTGGCATGCTAACTTATAGCATTGCACATTGTCCGCAATGCAGCAGATTGGTGTGGTATTAAAAGGTGGATGCAGCTTTTTTGGTTCTTTATTTATTATTGTTACTATTTAGGATGAGTAATGCGCTGTCCACTCTCATTCCAAGAGATTAAAAGATAAAATTAGAACGAAATGAGACAAAGGGGAAACAATTCACAGAGGCATCAACTACACAAGAAGGCCTCAATCACTAGATCTGAAATAAAACTTTAGAATATCATTATAATGGGCCTCTTTTCGCTTTTTTGTAACTAGAAAACACAAAAAGAGGTACAAGCAATTGCCATAGCACTCATACTACAAAAAGGAAAGTACACATACTTGGTACCCGGTGACAGCTTTGCTGGGAGATATAACTTCCGGCTTAAAACCTATAAGAAAAAACCATTAAGGGACTTCGAAATGGAGATCACAACAAGGAGAAAGACATTTAACGCATTAATTATATTTCTTTACTTTTTCATGTATTTATTTTTGAAAAGTAATGGTTCTATCAGAAACAAGCCAATTGGTGGTGCATCCCAAAACAACATGCCAAATCTAACAGCACATACATACTTCTTAAACGAGTGCCTCTAAATATCAGAAAATGGAAACTCTTTCCTATTATTTCCCTAGTAAAGTTAAAGATCACACTCTAAGACACAGTACTTATTGGGCTTTAGACTGCCTCACTCTTTTAATTGCTTAAGATACTTCCCGTTCTTATGTTCTATGTAGGTCTGATCCAACAGAGCTAAGTATAAGAACACGGATAACTTATCAACTTTAGAAGCTAAATCGTACAGCAAAAAATCAAAAGCAATAGTTCTTTGAAATAGGATGGGAATAATAGTGATAACCTTCTTTAAAGAGAGAGAGAGAAACCTCCACTATGACAATGTAGATGTGCAAAACTATGCTGAGAATCCTATCCTACCTCCAAAATTTGTATCACGCTCTCATAATGAGTATAAACTATAGCAATCCTTTCAAATAATCATGAGTACGCACAAGACTAGAGATATCAGCATGTTATTCTGAGATAATAAAATAAAATCAGAAAGCCAAATCTTTATAGCGAGTGTTTATTTTGGTTAAAAAGCTATATAAAGACATAGAAACAACAATAGTCTAGTTCCAATTGTAAGCACCTGACTCCAGCTGCCTGGAGCAGCACACAAATCCACAACGCGCTTCACACCTGCATATGGAAAGGGTTGTTGACACAAACAGCAATTCTGACCAACAAAGCAATGAAAAATGGAATTTCTGAACTTCTAATGTGCAGCACTTTGCTGAAAGAGAGTTCACTAGCATACATATACTCATTCAACATACAGTTATTTCAAGCTCTAAACAAACATATTTTAACTTGATATCTTGTTCTCCGTAGTCCAAACAACATATTGCTTCAGAATTCAGGGATGTAGTTTGTCCACAACTTCTTTAATTTCCATAAAGAGCCTAAACCCTACATCAGGAACTGCACTGTAATGAACTAATGAAGAGCTTCCAACTTTTCCAGACCTTCAAAGAGACCTTACCAGTAATAAAAGTTGTTACACATCAACGTCCGTTTGATAGCAAAGCCATTTTTTTCTTGGTAAAGATAAAATGCAGCAACTTTTATAAGATGTTTTCTGTGGAGACATTACGGGCTATACAAGTTTATAATATTAATCTCTTTCCATACGTAGGGAATCAATCAGGAGAACAAAAACTATGAAATTTGAAGCCAGATATTAAGAAGAGAACCTTCAAAGATATTAAACTCCTCATCTATCTGAAGGAGCTTGAAGGCACTTCGTGCACGCCACCCTTCTTCCTTTGCTTTCCGGTAGTAAATATCCTACAAAACTGAAACTTTTAAAGGAAGAAGCATTTGGTTATAAGCAAAAGAAAACACCAACTGCATAAAGTACATACCCTCTTGTCCCTGGATGCTTTTCCCATCAGATTAACTTACAGCCGTCCAAATTCCTTCAAAATCAATGGAATACTTCAATGGGGTTGCAAATTATGCCTGCAAAAGACCAACTTTGAATAAAAATTTGTCATTTGTAACCTTTAAAAACATTAATGTGACAATGTCAAGTTCTTAGCAAAACATACGCACTTTCTTGAAAAAATTGTTACAAATTCACTTGAAATCATTATCACCCAAAAATTCACTCTTTTTTCTTCTGATACCCATAACTCTAAATATGTCATCATATTATATGAAATATAAGTGTTTTTAATACATAAAGGTTGAGCATTTTCTGTTAGGAATTTCGTCGAACAGTTTATGTGCAAACGCTGGGGTGGGGTTAAGTAAAAATCAGTCAAAAAGAAGAAAAAACTGAAGAAATCAGCTACCTGTATATGGAACGGTGAGCTTTCTTTCAGCTCAAACAGATTATTATGCAATCAGAAAAGACAAAGGCAGTGCTTTCTTCAGACTACGCTGACGCTGAGCTGCTTAAGAGACTAAAGTGAGAAGAAAAGCTTAGGGTAGTAAAGGCATTTCCGTAATTACATTTATTTTTTTAATTAATTGTTTTATAAGAGGGTAGTTTTATAAAATTGTGAAAATCCATGACTTGTATTACTATAGTTCAATTATACAATATCTATTAGTCAAAACATGTTACATACAATAGTTAGCTCTGCAAAGAAAATGGATGTACATAAGTTAACCAATGGATCTACAACGCTTCAATCTCAAACTAGTCTTCTGTATCCATTTAAGAGGAAAAAAGAGGCTTGTTTAAGAATAATCACAAGCCCTGCAAAGATAAAGTCAGTTTCTGTTGTCAATATAACGTCTTGTTTCAAGTATTAGGAATAATGAGAGTAGCCCAACGTGTTTCCAGACATTTTGTTTTATGTTAATTTTAAATAAATATATATATCTCTCATAACAAAAATTTGGGTGAATGTAAGTAATATTTTCCAAGTTACGATTTTAGTATAAACTAAAGATCAATTCATTTTTAAAAATAAAAATTAAAGACAATTTAAACATTTAATGGACCTTCAATCACGTGGGCTTGGGCCAATGGGCCTGCTTCTTTTACTTCATTTCGCCCAAATTAGTTGGTTGTACAACCCCCGACTATAATATTCCTACACACCCAGAAAAAAGAATAAAAAATGAAGGGAAAAAAATGGACCTATTTGGATATGATTTTAAATTAGTTAGTCAAGTAGACGAGTGTTTTTAAAGTTGTTAATAGTATAAGGACGAAACTAATAATTTGGGGCAAATTCATGGATGTTTTTAATACTTCTCTCAAAATTTTCATAAAGATACAAGTTCAAATCCTAGGTTTTACATTTTATTTTTTAAACTTTCAGTAAAATTTCTAGATCCACCACTAATATAAGATAAGATAGTGTAACTTTTTTTTTTTTAACACCATTAGGTTAAAATTATAATTAACATCATGTACTTACCTATAGAAATCATAATTTACAAGTACATTGTCAACCACAAGTGACACATTGTGATTTGTCATGATCCCTCCGTACGAAGCATAGTTAGCCATATATTTTTAAAGTTTTCATATAAGTGTCTCCATTATTTCCATAGCAACTAAACAAAATTAATTCAATCAATATATTTTTAAAGTTTTCATAAACACAATAACATTACCTAAAGAAGACGTACGTTAGCTAGGTAGCAGAAGAAAAAGAGAAAATATTAATTACAACTATATATAGTTAGGAGGATATACATCACCATCTCTTAGCTAATAAGGTGACTTATTAATATTGTTCAAAACTTTTTCTACTAGTATATAGTTGAGCATTACTATTTCTACTAGTATATAGTTCACATAAATGATGATAACGAATGCAAATGCCTTACGACCGTAAATGTGAGATGTATTTTGGGTCGACTACTATGACTATATGTCCATCGATCGATCTAGAGTAGTGGCTTGAAAATAAATTACCTATTATATCTTATAGTAGTAATCATGTCTTGGCCTATTATTGATACTTTTGACAAATAATAAGTTAAAAAAATTAATAATACATGAGTTGTTATTATTATCACATGGATAAGCATAAGTAAATACATAATTGTCTTTAATATACCAAATCAAACTATGGATAGAAAATAGTGCCTGTGATATAAATTTGAAACTTCAAGGTGAATTTTAAACCCTCTAAACTAGTAAGTTGAACTCTAGTTTTGTATTCAGGACATTCAAAATCTATATATACACACTAAAAATTAAATAAAAAAAAAGTTTTATATAGAATGTAACTTTTTATCAAAGAATTAAAATACGGATAGATATCCTCGTCCACTCCTAAATTCATCCTTAATTTTTATACACTCTGCTAAACAGTTGAAGAACAGTGAAAAAGACATATAAAGAACAATTCGAGTACCAACTATATAGTAAACGTAATAAATTAAGTAGGAATATATTCGTTCAAATAGTGTAATATTATTGGTGATTCTTGTACAACTGTCATTTAATTAAGGTCATGTCTTTTTCAAAAGAAACATAATTTGAGCCAATAGTGAATTTTTTTTTTCTTCTTTCATTTAGTTTGTACCACTCCAAATAAATAAAAATAATAATTAGATTAGAAATAATTGAATGTGCTATGTCATTTAATTGTTGAAATTAAACAACCGCCACAAGTACTCATCATCAGTGCCATGCCTCTAGTTAAAGCATTGAAAATGACTACATTTAATCTGCATGGGACATATTGAAAATGACTTTTGTTTCGATAGTTTTTAACATATAGTTTAATATAACATCAAAAATTAATTTCACAAAATAAATATTTATTATAATGAAATATTATTGTTATATAAGAATCTGATTGTACTAGTAAGTAATTCATTCACACCATCAATAAAAATTGCATTTAAGAACACTTGTACATATATATATCCCAATCAAAATAATATACATATATTAACCATATTATTGATAAAAATCATCATCATCATACATGAATAATATCACAATATAAGCAATTCCCTTGTTTCTTTTTCTATGTTTTCCTTTTCAATTTCCTTGATGAAGATTAATAATTAAACATACACATTGAGAAAATAACAACCCATTACATTTTCTCCTTCTCCTTCTCCTTCTCCTTCTCCTTGTCCTTTATTGCAACGCGACCGTCAGTTCCAGCAAGTATTGCGTACTTATCCCTCCTTGTCAAATTAGTACACTCGAATCCCAATGTACCACCAAGTACCTTTTGAATATAATTTGCAACTTCAATTGCGGATTTCCCTCCGTTAGTACAATTAAGTTCAGGAGGGAGTTGATTCAAGAATGTAATCTCATAAGTTGGTCTTGGATTCATGAAAACAAAATAAGGATCCAATAATTTGTACCCTCTGACAGTTGTCCCATTAAACACACTTTGCTTAGTGTTAATAGCCACAGGTACAATTCTATCAGTCAATTCAGCAAAAAGTGCGCTAAATCTCAATAAAAACGGTTCCCTACATGTTGTACCTTCAGGACATATAACCAAATCACCTTCTTCAAGTAATTGCTTAATATGTGCTGCATCTTTCTCCCTCTCTCTCGATAACGCGACGGCTTTTATCGGCGATATCATCTCAGAAAATTTACTAATACTATATGTAACACAACTTATTTTTCTACCTAGTGCAACAGCAGTAACAACGGGGTCTAGTATAGTTCTATGGTTGCACACAAAAAGTACACCACGTTGGCCATTTTTAGGGGGTGGTGGGGGTGTACCTTTGACAATAAGTTTAATACCAAGGATAATATAATTATATCTAACAATTTTTTCTGGTAAAGGAATATTAAGATATACTCTAAGAATTGAGAGAATTATTCCTATTGGCATCCATAAAAATGTTAAAAGTGCCATAAGTGGTGTAGGTCTTTGTACAAAACGACCTTCATGGAAAATTACTGGACTTAGGAGTTTATTTCTTGCTAGGGGTTCTATTTTTGATCTTGGGACCATGTAACCTTCCTGCAATAATAATATTTTACATAAGTGAGTTAATTAAATAAATATAAGGAACCAAAATAAGTACTACTTATTTTGGTTCAATTTATGTGACATAATTTGATTCAAAACGAAATTTAAGTGAAAACGATAGACTTTTAAAACTCTGATGATCTTAAGCATGTCATAATATTTGTGTGACGGTAAGACTTAGAAAACTTATGGTTGAAATGTAAAGTTTATAAAGAGATGTTTTCAAATATAGAAATGCAATAAGGAGTTATCTTATATTCATCAAGTCTAATTTTGCATGAGTAGTTATGTCCAATTATAATACTACATTTTTATAATATAACTAACCTAATCATGTAAAAAATATTTCTTTTACATTTACACTAAATATATATGAGTAGTTGTGTTTTATTATACCATTAATTATAGCATGATCTAATCAATCATGTGAAAATTATTTTACACTATTAATAATATAGCCATAGGTAGTTAAATTATCTTCATCCTTTTTGGTCCCCTCCATGTAGATAGTTGGGAGAAAGACTCATGGGTTTGGTGTGTAACAATCCTTTTAGAGGTACATCTTAAATGAAAAATGAGTTGGAACGTAAAAGATGTATGATGACTTATCCATTTTATTTTTTAAAAATAAATGTCATCAGTATAACCAAGTCTATATGAATACTCTTTACATTTTACTTTGACACAACTTACGTCTTTCTTTATATGGCAATGAAAGTAAAGCTCTTAATTTTACTCGTGTCTGACATAAAATATTTAGAAATTAAATCAAAATATCCAATAAATAATATATTCAATTAACTCTTGAAATTCGAAAAATATCATGTAAATTAGGACCAATGGACTAATAAAGTGACAAACAATTTTTTTTTTTTAGTATATGTTCAGAAAAGGAACAACTACAAGCAAACAAATAGCTTAGGTAGGTATAGAAAGTCATAAGATCAACTTCTTTTTCTAGTCTTTGTAATACAAAATAGGTGCTTTAATTTCATATAAACTCTTTAGTGAAAGCCTAAATTGGGATCATTAATCCAATAAATATAGATACTAAAAGTTCTCTACAACTACAACAAAAGACAATTTTAGCAGCAATTATTTAGTGTATATAGTTAGTCTACTGTTGATATCTATATGTAGAGGCAGAATAAAAAAAAATCGAGTAGATAATTTTTTTTATATATATATAGATATAGTAGACAATTATTGAACTTTCTTCCGCTTCTTCGTGTGTTAATGTACATGTGTGGTATGCGTACTGTTAATAAAGATAGGAAAATGATTTAATGAAAACAAAAATTAAAGCAACCACGTGAACAAAAATCAAGAACATTAATGTTATAATTAACTTCTTACCAACCCCACCAATAATTACTATAGATATTGTACTGCCTATATTATTAGACAACTTTAATTTGAGTGAAAAAGACAAGAGAAATCTAGTAAAATTAGAACAGTAGAATAATTCTTACCCTATCAAATCGTAAAAACAATTACATGTAACCGTTCATTAAACTACAAAAGAAAAAGGATGAACTACTTCATCGCTAACATAATTTTATGACAATGCAAATTACTTGTGACAACATGTTAAAATGAATAGATAGCGACTGTCAGTATATATAAGTTAAAATATAAAAATTTACCTTGCATATGGAGATGAAATCGCGATCAGTGTCTCTATCTCCAAGACCTACATGAGGTACATTTGTTCCAAATTCTTTAATAAGAGCATCCCTTTTATATTGTCCAACAAGAACACCAGGTTTTGTTACAAATCCAGTGGCACGTCCAGATTTAGAAACATGTAATTCAGTTCCAAGAACTTTATCAACACCTAAGAAAGTTTTTGCAAAATGTTCAACCATAATTCTTGGATTCGCGGTAACAATATATCTCTTCCCAAAAGAATTAAACACTTTCCAAGTATGTGGATGTACATCTTCAGAATAAAACTTAGGTAAAACAGCCCTAGAGACGATTTCGATGTCTTTAATCTTTAATCCAGCAAAGGATATGAAGATTAGGGTTTCAATTGCAATTGATTCTGAGATGAATATGTAAATAAAGTAGATAATTGGAACAAATAATAGAAGTAGTAATGCTCTTATGAGACTACCAGCTTCTAAGGCAATAAGAAAGAAATAAGGAAATGAACTTGTTGATATTAAGAGTGTTCCATCTAAATCAGATGCAATTGTTTGATTTGATCTATTAATTTCTTTGTTATATTTTGAGATTGGTTCAAAATGGGGAAGAGCACCCATTAGAGAATTGTATGATTGTTGGTTGGTTGGGTGGGAGAAGGAATTGAATGAGCTAGAGATTGTGTATGAGATATGTGTGAGAAGAGAAGAGAGGGGTTTAAAAAGACATGAAAAAAGATGGCCATGTTACAATTTGTTGTTTAAGTCTAACCATGAATCATGTGGTTGAAAATAATTGTTTTTTTTGTTATTTATTTAAGGGTTTAATTGAGTTGTGTTACGTTGACAGTGTAAAGAATTTTGGACAATTCAGATCAGACTTGTTGTGAAGATGAAGTTGCGTGTTATACTTTCTATCTCAATTAATATGACACTCTTTTGGTCTTCCGTTTTTGTTGTCCAAAAGAGAAGAACACATTTCGATATTTAGAACTAATTTAACTTTAAGTGCGACTTATTTCAGCTCGCAAGTTTCAAAAGTCCTTTTTTTTCGTTCTTAAACTACGTACGTGCTCTAGCCAAACACCTTCACATAATAAATTTGGACTAGGAAAGTACGTATTATATATCAACTCAACTTGATTCTATAAAACAAAACTATGTATAAGGATAAAAGCAATTCTTTGATAATAAATTTATCCGAACCTAATATTTTTCACTCTGAGCATTAATTATAAGTGAAAATGCATTAAAACTTTAACAAGTACTAAATTTAAATTCATTATCTTATTATTACAATAAATATAATGCGAAAAGTCATAAAAGTCTAACCAATCAAATTTAAATCTCATTTTCTATTAAGAAACAAAATTACAAACTAACTGATACTTATAAGGCTTCTAGTGTCGTCTGTGCAAAGAACTTAAACTCTTTATTATGAAACTAAGAATTAAAATTTAAAAAAATATTCTTGGAGGTGGGGTGGGAAGTGG